TCGGAGATAAAGCCGTATAATGAGAAAGTGATAGGATTTGTTTTTGTTAGAAGTATTTTCCTTTTAACTGCTACAATTTTATCAGTATAGAACGATCAGAGACTGATCGGGGTGTGACCTTACAAAACTTCCTGAGAAGTGTTGCGCGCACGTTCATAGCGGGTGGCTCTGGTGCAATTTCCCTTGACATTTTATTTAACGGTAATTGCAGTTCACATAGTAGAACGTTATTCAACAGATAAAAAAGCAAGGTTTGGTTTATGTTTGTTCCATGGGACGATCTGAGAAAGTAGTGGTTGGAAAAGGTGATACAGTTTGTGAGGGTTAGCACATTTGAGGTATTTCTGTGGCATGTGAAAGGTGGTTGGCAAAGGCCCTAACTCGAAGCACGTCCTTAAAATCCCATTAATTTCAATTGGTACTTTTAATTACCTTTCTAGAAAGGAGATTTAATATGGCACCGCAATAAAGTAAGTAACCGTGAATGAGTAATCGTTAAAGTGCTATCAGTACCTCCCCTATTTTTCCAACTACAGCAGAGCATAGAAGCCACATGCGTAAAAGAACTAAGGTGGCAGAGATTTTCACATAACTGCAAGTAAGCATGTTTTCTGATTGCTTTTTTCTTTTTTTTCCTAAAAAAAAAATCATTTTTAAATAGCAAAACTATTGGCAAAGTATCATCTCATGTGTCACTCTGGTTTGCTGTGTGCCTTTGGAAACGAGCATTAAGCCGATTGGAGCACTGCAGGCTCTCCAGTGCTTTGCACCCTGGATCGCCTTTAGCAGTAAATATGTACCAGGCAGTTGTAAAACGTTACCATCAGGGAGCAGCAGCTCGGAAGTCTCCGTTCTTGTGGGTTTGGACTCGGTTTTAACCCCTTCTGTGCAGATAGGAGAGTACAGAGGGTAGAAGAAATCTGCTCGCTATTTGTATTTTCTTTTCTATTATTATACAGTTGACAAAATGCCTAACTAGTGTATTGGCTGGCTGATACTGTGCATTAGTGCAGAGACGCCAATCTGTTAATATTCAGTGAAGTCATAAGTGGAAACATCTCCTGTCTTGTGTTTTCAAGGCAGTTTTTCCAAAAGTACACCTTTGGATTTCAGTAGTGCATTCTGGAATGTGATTCTGAGAAGTCCAGTGTGAAAATTTAGCAAGTAAAAATTTTCCATTGTTGCTGAGCTAGCCATATTGATAATGGTGTGATTAATTAAAGTGCCAACATTCACGATGGAGATGTGTTACTTAGAGATGTAACAGGCTGTCCATATTTGAACCAGTTCAGAAATAATCTAAACCTGTTGAGGTAAAATAAAGGCTGGTTTATTGAAGCCCGTCATTACTTTTATCTGTACTTAAGGGAAGGGAAATTGACTTTGTAGAGAAAACGAGGGCGTTGAGGATGGTCCGTCATGAGGCAAGAAAATGTGTTAAGTAATGTGTTTCCTTGAAAAAGTAGCGATAACCCGGGAAAAGGATGGGGTTTGGAATCAGTGTCCAGGAATAGATTCACAGTGTAGTCTGCAAATTCGGAATTACTGAGCAGTATTTCTACCGTGGCATCATATATTCAGGTCCTCCTCCTTTTTTCTGGGCTTGAGGAACAAGAGTATTACAAATCCCTAACCTGCTATTCATGGATGAATCTCTCTCTGTTTCCTGAACTAAAATTTTCAGGGACAGTTAAGTTTATATCTGTGAGCTGTATTCACAATGAGCCAAGATGATTAGACAATGCTATTGCCTTAGAATTATGCTATTGTAGATCCTCTTGAGCCGTTGGGTAGAGCTGAGAGTTCCCCTGAAGAACAGGGGATCCTTTCTATCAAATTCTTCTTTGTGAAAATAGGACATCTAAATGAAGTGTTACCCTTGCCCAGTAGAAGATAGCTCCTACACAAGACACCGGCTTGCCAAAACTATATCTCAGCTGGAAGAGAAGACGAGTTTATTTTTAGGTAGCAGTAGGAGGGTCTCAGAAGCATCAGCCAGTCAGTTACCAGAGTGGTAAATTAAATCTCAAGAGCCAGAGCTCGCTCCTCAGTACGCAATGATAGGGAGGGGGCAAGGCAAGAGCGAGGCAACGGCGGCGGCAGGTCGGAGTGTTTGTGTTCCTGATGGAAAAGTACAAATCATTTGCTTCCCTTCTGCTGCTGTCATGGTCCATAACTTCAGTCCATTTTCACCTTGCCAAGGGATTCTGAATGGGCCTTCTGGCTTTGGCACCTAATTAATCTCTCGCAAGCCTTTTCTTGCAGCCTGCCTGCCTGGGATGGCCCGTATCTCATGTCAGGGACTTATGAACAAAATACTTTTTTATTTTTTTTTGCTTCCTTTTTCCATGCTCTTTTAGTCCAAAGCCCCATAAGCAGCTGAAGATGATATCTCCTCCCACTTTTGACAAAGGTATATACTCGTCCTTTTATTATAGGAAAGGATCCCCTTTTCCTCTAGCAGAGCACTGTTAAAGCACTGTAAAGCTGTTGATGTTCTCAAAAGTGAGTAGGAAGTGTCCACAAAAGTACGTGACAGGTTTTTGAGTATCAGAAAATATTCAGGTCCTTCTCTCTTCAAGTTGGATTTATTTACAGAGTGAAGTAAGCATGCAAAAATTATTGGTCACTTTAAAAAAAAAATGGCCTACCTATACACAAATAAAAGTATATGATCCGAGATGAAAAAGGCATGTTCTGTGGTGTAAAGCATTACCATGAGACTGTGAAACAAAAAGTTATTCTACTGAAGTTATTTTATTGTCATATATCAAGCGATCAGCTATACTGTGCGCTGAGCTCTAACAGCCAGAGTCCTTTATGAATAGTTTAACATGAGTCCTTGTGATGAAATAACACCGGTACTCTAAATAACAGATAATGCCAAATAGTATAATGTATTATCGATAATAGAAAAAACATAGATTCTGCAAAATGATACATGTAGAATCTAGTATTTCTTTGAAATGTATTTCCTTGGTAATATTTCTACTCAGAAGCAACTTATCTCCCTCCTGCTGCGTCTTCTGTGGGGTCGAGCTGGGTGTTCCAGCTCAGAGCAGCGGACACGTTCCAGGCTGGGAAAGGGAAAGGGATTGAAAGATGCCTGAGAACTCGGCTTTGTTAGATCAGGCATCAAGGAGAGTGTCCGTCAAAACTCTTGGCCTCTCCTGGCCTGGATCTGATCTTCAGTGCTGTTAATACAAAACCTCCAAGAGCGCTCTGATTTTTCTGGTGACGTGCAGGCAGGAGGGAGAGGAGGAAAAAAATCAAGCCTTTAATTCCCTCTGCTGACAACTTCTTTAATAAAATCCTGTAGGAAATTCTCAGTTAATAGTCACCCGATAATCTAATTTGCAAGCCCAAATGATATATTCGGCAGCCAGCCCGGGGGAGGTGTGTTTCTGCTATCAAAATCACTTGAGCAAGGAATAAAATTCTGAGCTATCACTGAAAACTGTGGTAATTTATGATGGGCTGTTGGTTTTTATTTTTTCCTCCTATTTGCATCAGTTGAACAAAGAAGATGGAACTGCTACTGCCTTTACTCTAATGAGGTTTTTCCATGGTATGCTCACCGACCTGTATGTTCTCACAGGCTGGAATAGTACAAACACTGCAAACTGGATGATCTTTCATCTATAAGATACCAAATGAAATCAAAGATTCAAACGTATCAGCACATGCGAGTCTTGTATACAGCCACGAGTGGTGGTGAATGTCCTTTCCTTTCAAGCCCTCTCCCCTCTTGGTTTGCTTGTGCAGGAGTTAAGCCTTTGCCATTCTCTTTAGTTTGGATAATCAGATTTCTTGTGACCATCTGTCCTGTCCTTGCGAATCATCCTTGGGGTCTTCCCTGTGCTCTGCTGGACTCCAGTTCAGGGAACATGGCTTCTGTGGCGCACATGCAGAAAACAAGACAGAAGGCAAAAAGCTTTTTATAAGCTCACTGCTATATAGCCAATTTTGGTCCGTTTGGTGAGAACGGATGCTCTGCAGCAGAATCACAGTCATCTGTGTCACTTCCAAGAGGAAAAGGTTCTCGGCTCGTGCCCCATCCCTTGCAAGTTCAGACCCTGAACTAAGACGAATCAGTAGTGTTGTCTCAGAAGTAAGCTCATTAAAAGATAAGAGAACCAAACAAAAACCACTGGGGTATTACTGCCGAGCTAATCAGCTAGCCGAAGGCAGGACAACCACCTGACACTCTCCTTGTTAGTCCTTCCCTCGCTTCCATCCTTTAAACCCCACTTTCTTTTTGCCTTCCCACCCTAGCCTGCATTGTTGGGAAGTAAACGCTAGGTGGATGCATGAAGCTGGCCCCGCGTTATCGTCAGTGAATGGAGTTTCGTAGTACTGAAGAAGGTAAAAAACCCTGCAGACTTGCTCTGGATTTCACGCGGAGTGTTTTTCTTCAGCGCTTTGAGTTCACGATGTTGACAATGTTTTAAGTTGTGCCATTTCAACAAGAGAATGGACTTATCTCTCAAAACATATAGGGTACCTGCTTCATATCTTAATCAGATCTTTCCATGGAAAGTATCTCATTTTTCAAATAATGGAGAAGTGGCTGCTTTGAGTTTTTCTTATTCGTAGACCTTCAGTGTCATTTGTAATGTCGGTAAGGTTCTGATGAGTTTCTCTCTTTTTTTCATTTATTTATTTTTAAGAGACAAAAGTTTGTAGGAAGCGATAATACATGACTGAAAAAAAGCAGGTGCGAATTCCCTGCATGAGGTTTGACAAAGAATCTCCAAAGAATTACCTTTACGTGGTATCCAGTTCAGTTAATCAGTCTGCTGATCTAAGAGGCTTCACCCTCATCCGTACCCCCCTCCAGGGTAGCCCTTTAGTGATGAAGAGCAGTCAGTCTTCAGCTCTGAAAATAATAACTGGGAAAGACACATGAAATTTGTTGTTACCTTACCTAAGCTTGTCCTGCCTGTTCTTGCTATCCTGAATGTCGAGTGCTATATTTCTGTTACTGTTTTCTTTTGTAGTGAGAGATGCCGACGCACTCTGCATGGCCATAAGGATTCAGTCAATAGCATTGAGTTTCTTCCGTTCTCCAACACTGTTCTCACTAGCTCTGCTGACAAGACTTTATCCCTCTGGGATGCCAGAATGGTAAGTAAGCAGTCTGTGTTTCGGTCTCTCTTCAGTTCAAGCAAGATAATGATGTGTATTATGGGAGAAAAATGAGAGCCAGTATAAAATTGAAACAGAATATCAGAATGATTTGGCAATGGAGTATTAACAGAGCTATTATCCAGCAACCAAAAGTGAAACATTTCGTGGACTCCTGAGAAGCCTAAGTCCTCACAGTGCAACCACTGGACGTACGCCTAGATCACTGAATAAGCAGGTAGGCTTAGCCTGGTGGTGGTGGGTTTAGCAATTGGTGCTCTGGATTTGGAAGACTGCATTGCTGCACACTGTGCTGAATCAATTTGAGGGACAGAGCAGCTGCAGGTAGGTTTTCTGTGGCTCCTTTTGTACATGCTGGCATGTGCCTTAGGTTAGGTACAAAGAAATGAGGAAATACGGCACAGGAGAAAAACAAGCTGCAATAACAGATCTAATGTGTTTATTTTTCCTTTAGAAGGGATTCTCTCCAGACCTCCTTGCTGGTTTCTTGTGAATTATGTATTGTTTTCTCCAAAATATATCACTGTAGGTGGTGTCAGGAACTCTGCATCTTTTCCTCTGTTCTTCTCTGCCTTCATTCTTTGGTACAGGTATGAATGGATCGCTCAGCATTAATAGGGTAGTATGCTGCAGACTGTATTTGTCCCTGCTGCTTTGCAGGCCAGTTATGTAAATCCCACTCAAGTAGAATACAAGAACAAGGGAAGAGGATTTTTTTTTTCTCTCATCAGAAAATTCAATAGTTATTGCTGCTGTTGAAGGCACATAGCAACTCATACAGCAAATTTGGAGATTCTCTAGGTGCCGTTTCAGTTGGTATTACGGTCACCTTTGCGTTTCTCTAATCGTGCACGGGTACCAGATTCAAGCCCGGAATAGAGCAGGCTGTATTCACGCGAGGGATTTGAGAGGAGGGAGGCAAAGAGCTATGGCTGTGTATTAATAGACATTGTCATCAGAGCTATACAAACACAGAATGAGAAAAACTGACAGGAGAACGGCAGTGGAGCGTTTGAGATGCTCATTAGGCAATTTCTATTTATGAATCTTAGAAACAGACCGAATAGCAGGTCATTTAATAATAATCTTGGGCATAAAGCACAAGTTAAAATGAAGCCAATCAAGACTCATTATTCTTAAATGTGTTGGTTTGTAAGAACTTTTGATAGCCAAATGTGAATAATTCAAAAAGAGATCAAATACTGAAATACAAACAAAAGTGGAAACTTGGTGGAAAAATAGGCTTCTGCTTTGTTTTATTTTCCATAAATTCTGGACGGAAGTTTATCATCCAAGTGTGTGTCCAGTGATCTCATGTTCGAAGCAGATTAATAAATACAAAAGGGTTTTTCTGTGATAAATTTATGGCAAAAGCCTGCTCAGTTTTGATTACCCATCACCGTTTTCAGCAGTGGGTAATTTTGCAAAGGTAGAAAAGATCTTTAGTGCAAACAGAACATCGTGTATGGCATTTTGCTTTGTATTTCTTATTCTGAATAGCTTCCCCGTTCATTAGGAAATCTTGCAAATTTCAGATACATGCCCACACTGAAATATCACTTGAAGTGCTGAAATCACTGTGAAGATGCTATCTCCCTCTAAATTTTGAATGATATTAAATGTTCCCTCCAGAAAGAAGTTGAATGATTTTCTCCCATTAATTTGAAACAGAATATTTTCTCACCTCGGTGAGATCAATTAGCATTAAGGAGTGCATTTAAAGATAATTCTAATGAAACATGAAAATCATACTCTGGTTTGTTTTCTCATAAATTACGTTCATATTATTAATCACATCTTGCTCGTCAATCATTAACTTTAGTCAACTCTTTATTATTAAAGAGAATGGATACAGAGAACTGTAAGTCAAAGCTGTGCAAGTTGAATGGACGATGAGCTCTGGAGTGGAGGCAGAATGGAGCCATAAATCTTTGTAGTTACTAAGCTGAAGCTGTAACGCTGCCTTCAGACTTTGAAAGTACGTGACTTTTTTTTTTTCTAGATAACATAGAGTCAGACTGAATAGTTCAAGAAAATCTATAACACATTCGCAGTGAAAAAAAAAGGGAAATGAGAACACCGAAAAACAAACAATGTTTAGATGATTATGATTCTTTCCAAACATCTGGGAAGAAATACTGAATAGGGGTTGGATTTGGGTTGGAATTATCCTAACACTGTGCCAGACTCCCAGTAGGTCGGATGTTTGCAAGGCTGCAATTCATTGGTCGGAATTTCTTGCCAGTAAAGCTGGTGGTTCTCATGCCAGATAAGCTGTTGAATTTATTTCTCTTTATGCCAGTTTCGTAGAAAGACAAGCGTGTTCTGGCTTTCCACCAGAATATTTTCTTGCTGACACATCAGAGTGAGTGTCCCGACTCATGAATTGCAAAGTCTCTGTCCAATGATAAATGTGAGAGGTGTAAAAGAACATGAGATCCCAAGAGTTACGGGTTCACCTGCCTGGGTTAATTCTTCTTGTGATAAGCCGTCTGCCATTCCTCTGTATCTCCCACACGCTGCTGAGTAATTTCTTGAGGCTAGTCAAATTTGTCTGGATAACATTTGAACCAAACTGTGAATCTTTGCTCTTTCTCCGACAGACAAAATGCCAAATAGTAAAATCCTTAAATAAAAAAAAGTGTTCACGTTTTTCATTCTGCGCGATTGAAATTTGCTGATTTAGTAGCTGTCTCATCTGCTTTCTGATTTTTGAAATACTAGATTCTCCAACTGGAGATTTCTGGTTTTGAAGACGTTGTGCAGTCCCTGTCGTTTAGAAGCCAGCATTAACTAATAATGTCCTAAGGAGCATGTCTGACTAGGATTTGGGAAGACTTGCATATGTACTTAGCTGAACTATCCCATTCATGTTAGCGATGCTATTCACGTGAATAAGGTTCAGCCCGTGCCTAGCTCTTTGCAAAGTTAGGTTCCTACAATGCTCTGTTTTTCTTTTTGATTCTGTGAAATACTAAGCATACGAGATGTTGTTCGTAGTTGTTGTCCATTTTGGACTCTCCTGATCACTGATAGGCAACTCCTCTACTTTATTTTATTTTTATTTTATTTTTACCTATCTAGGATATATTTCTGACGTTATCATGTCCTCTGCAATGCAGCTTGGCAATTTAAGGCAAGAGCCTCACATTTTTTGTACGTTGCTTTTGCAGCAGGCTGCTGGCATATAACACAAACAATCCCAGTCGTACCCTGCTATCAAAGTAAAGTCCCTGACATCCATACAGGAAGGCATCAAGCATGTCAGGCTGTTTACTGTTTGGGTCAAAGATGGCTTAGATAGAGGTAAGACAGCTCAGCAGAATAGCGACTAGTTCTGCGTATCAGTTTTTATCGTTGATGGTAATTTGTGGGCTGAACAGCACAATCAAAAGTTAGAAGCCCCAAGGTAGCGTGGTGATCTTTGATAAACGTTGTACACAACAATCTCGGCAGAAAAGGGAAAAAAATGGCATGAGGTTGTCTAAAACCCTGGGTTTTGCTTTATTTTTGCATTACCCTGAAAGTCAAGCTGCTCGAACGCACTCTGCCTGCCCCCGCGCCCAGGGCAGTTAGGCCTTAACCCACTTACTCCTTGGTTCAGAGGCTTTAGCAGAGTGACCATTACTGCTAAATTCATTTCAGATATGTCCACTATCTTTTCATGATGTTTTTTACCATCAATTTGTGTAAGAGCTGCACACTGGAAAAGAAAAATAATCTCAGGATATGGTTTGTGGTTGATCTTAGCATTTTATGCTGCCAGGAAGACTTCCAAAGGCAAACAAAAGACATACACGAGCCTATGGTCTGGGCCCACAATTCCCAAATTAACAGAGTGGCTAGAAAAGAAATAGCAGAATTTAAATGGCTAAAAACAGCTTATATCTTTCGCCACCTAGCCTAGGAAGCAACGCTTTTGTCATTCTCGGGGGAAGGCTGCTCGCTTGCTATGTTTAAGGGAATGTGGATGCTCAGAAGTAGTGGTACTGCTGTAACAAGCCTGGAACAAGCTTGCGTGGAGTCCTCAGAAGAGTGGCCAGCAACAGGATCGTGAAAAAGATGTACATTAAAGCCTACCAATCATTTAAGAGTAGTGGCTATTGAAAAGGTTTTCAGTAGTTGGAATGTATTTGGGAACCCCTAGAGCTTTGTAGGGATGCTGCCCATCTGTGGTGGGGGCTTTTATACCTGTGTTCTTTTGGCTTCATGGAGTGGACATTCACCAGCCAAATTCAGGAAAAATGTCACAGTGTGTTTAAATAGCATGCATATGACACGGGCCCAGTACAGCCACAGGGAGTTATTTTGAAATCTAATCCAGTTCTCTTTACGTTTGTTGGCCTAGTCTGCTTGATTTCTTTCCGAGTAAACACCTTAGAGATAAAATTATCAGTCAGAGTTTCCTCCGAGTACTGGATTGTCAGTTTTATTCGAACCCTTTGAACTCATGAGAAACGAATTCAAGAGCTGAGTGGTTATACAGGATGTGTCATTTAAAAAGTCTTTGACAGGCAGTTTATGGTTCAAGTCAAGCCTCTTCAAAAATAGGTCAGAGATTGAAGTTGTCACCACTGAAGATGAAGACTTCCGTAAGAAATCTCAGTCTCTTAGTACAATTGGTTCATTGTGCAGTAAATACGGGACACAAAAGGAGAAGTCCAGTACCAGGTATGAAGTGGTAACAAATTTTATATTCTTGATTTTGTTCTATGTATTTGTAAATAACGGGTTTGTATTTTAAAACTCCCTGTCTTAACATGAAAGGGAATTTATGAGACGCTGTAAAATTTGATATAAAGAACAAGTAGCTACAGATAAGGATAGTCTTTCCTGCAAGAAGTAATATCACAGAACACAAGTAAACACATAAAACTTGGAGGTTTATATTACACGTGGTTGGGATGCTTTCGTAGAGACTTAGTGCCTGTTTTTTCAAAACCAAAAATATCAGTAACGAAAAATATACTTTGCTTTCT